AGTTTATCTTTATCTCCCAACCGTTGGTCCTCCATCTTCTCTACAGTAGTTTGTTTTTATCTCTCAACCGTTGGTCCACCATCTTCTCTGCAGCAGTTAGATTTTGTGATTTTGTCTACTTTCTCTTTTTTACTCTTTTGTTTTACAAATATGATCGCTTAAAGTCATATAATATAATCTCAACCGTTAGTATTGAGTAGTGTAGCCTATGAGGCAGGATACTCTTAGGTCTTTGTTTGGTAATCGCTGAATAGAGTGATGGGAATAGGAATGAAACGTTTATTTGCAAATTATAATTGTTTGGTTAAAAGGAATAAAGTGGGAATGTGAATGAAAATTTACACACAACTTCATTCATACATAATATGTGGGAATAAAAAACAAGGAATGGAAATGAATTTTTTTTTCAAAATAATAATATATTTTATTTATTATCTATTAACTACTTTTACCACCATCACCATCACCACAAGTACCACCATTACCACCATTACAACAACTACAACCACCACCACCACCACCACCATCACAACAACCATCATCTGCTTTTACCACCACCACAACCACCACCATTGCAACCATCACAACCACCACCACTAATAGCATCATCACAACCACCACCACCACTACCACCATCATTATCACAATCATAACCACCACTACCACTGCGGCAATCATTACGCCACTACCACCACCACTAGAACCACCATTATCATAACCACAATCACCTTTATTATTTTTACAACCATATAGTTTAATAAAATTATATTTTTAATCATTATTTTTATTTGTATAAAAAATTAGATGTTAAAAAATTTAAATTGCATTTCGATTCCTTATTAGTATTCCAAACACGGTATTGGAATACTAATACCATTCCGATTCCTTAAATTTCATTCCGATTCTTGCATTCCCATTCCTATCACTCTATTTCGATTATCAAACAACACCTTAAGGTATGATTTCGGATTGGAGTTTTATCGACATACTCTTACCCCTTGTTTGGATATTTCCTCTTGGGAGGAAAGAAAACGAGAGAAAAGAAAGTAAGAGGAAAGAAAACGATTTTTCACTTGTTGTTTGGATAAGAGTGAAAATGAAAGGAAATAAAGTATATTTTTCTTGTTTGGATAATTATAAAAAGAGGAAAGAAAGAAAATATATTATTGTATATTTACTATAATACCCTTATACTTATATTTCTATATTTAAAAACTTATAATAAATTTGTATGAATATTTTTTCATTAAAATAACACAAATGATAATAAAATAAAAATCTAGCATATAACATCTATCCGAAATGAGAAGATGGATAATGAATCGTCTACCCAAAATAATCGATAATTGTTTATTAATTAGTTAATTCAATAGCCAATTTAGATTAATTATCAATATAAAATTAATTTAAATATGTATAACATGTATTATTATCTATGCATATAATAAGTTAGTTGCTTTTACCCATCATTTTTTTCGCTTTTGTTTTTAGAATAAAAAATTACTATTTAACAATTAAAAAAAGAAGAAGAGTATATTGTAACATTGAGAGCAATCATGGAAAGTCAATTGAATCACCAAAAATGAGATAAAACACAAATAATTTTTATTTCTTCTTTTGCGGTAAGTTCAAAAAGTGTTCCGAGGTTCGTTTTGAGGGATATTTTTTTTATCTATTTTGGTGGGTTTTTTTGGGGGGTTTTGAATCTGGTATGGGGATGTTTTTGGAGCTTCTTGGGTGGTTTAAATGGCCTTTCCAAAGAAGTTGCTTTGTAAGGGTTTTGAGGAGTCGTTGGTAACACTTACAGTGTGAGTTTGTGGGCTTTGGGTAGGTGTTAGGTCTGTTTTGGGGTTGGTTTTAGGCTATTTTTATGGTCTTTTGGGGTTTTTTAGGTGGTTTTGAATCTGGTTTGTGGGTGTTGTTGGAGTTGCTTTGGTGGTTCAAATGACCGATCCAAGGGGTTGCTCTGTAAGGGTTTTGAGGGGTTGTTGGTAACGGTTTGGTCGAGTTTGGGGGCTTTGGGTAGGTGTTGGGTCTGTTTTGGGGTTGGTTTTAGGCCTATGTTTTGAGGTTGTTTTTGGGTTTTTTGAAGCTGGTTTGCTTGGTGTTTTTTGAAGCTGCTTTGGTGGTTTAAATGACTCGTCTAAAGGGGTTGCTCTGTAAGGGTTTTGGGAGTCGTTGATAACGAGTTTGGTCGAGTTTGGAGGCTTTGGGTAGGTGTTGAGTGTGTTTTGGGGTTGATTTTAGGCCTATTTTTTGAGCATGCTTTGGGGTTTTGTTTGGATGGTTTTCAAGCTGGTTTGGGGGTGTTTTTAGAGCTGCTTTAGTGGTTTAAATGACCTATCCAAAGGGGTTTTTCTGTAAGGGTTTTTGGGGGTCATTGGTATGAGTTTCAAGGCTGAGTTTGGGGGCTTTAGGTAGGTGTTAGGTCTGTTTTGTGGTTGGTTTTAGGCCTTTTTTTAGGGTTTTTTGGGTGGTTTTGAAGTTTGGTTTGCGAGTGTTTTTTAAATTGCTTTAGTGGTTCAAATGACTCGTCCAAAATAGTTGCTCTGTAAGGGTTTTGGGGGGTTGTTGGTAACTATTTCAAGGCTGAGTTTGAGAGCTTTGGGTATGTGTAATGTCTATTTTGAAGCTATTTTTGAGGTTGTTTTGGGGCTTGTTTTTAGGTTGTTTGAGAGCTAATTTTGGTGCTTTGGAGGAGGTGTTATTTTTTAGGCCATTTGAGAGGAGATCACCGACAAACCTTTTTAGTTTGGACGGAGACAATCAGCCAAGCTTAATCATGTATAACATCCATCATTTTTTTATATTTGTTATCATGAAAATTCTTTTTTCACCGAAGCGAGTATAGGATTTGTATATTTTATGCAAAGTCAAGTTTTTAAGCTTCAATGCTTACCTTTTCTATGGACTCATCTACAGAAAAAAATAATTAAAAGTGATTATCACGGGAATGTGAGAAAGGATGTACATCCATTGGTAATATTCAATGGTTCTCTCAAAATTTGATCATCTTGAAATTGATTTGTAAAAAGAGTTTTAAGTTATTATTTCATTTTTTATATTTTCATTATGTTATATATATATATATATACAAACTTTGCTTTTATGAAAACACAAAAAAGAAAGAAGCCAAAAAAATAAAAATGTAAAAATAATAAAAAGGAGCATAAATTCTATCTCTGTTTACAAATTGCACATCTCTTGCAAAATCACGATCCATCCGAGAATTGAAACACCTGGGTCCCCAAACTCCCGGCAATCTTTGTCAAGCCATGAAGGACCTCTTTTCAGCTGTATTGTATCATATGGAGCACTTTTTAAATCAACTCGGCCGCATTACATTGCCGTAATCGTGAACAAGGCAATGTGAGGACCCAAATAAAGAACAAAAGTATGCAAACCGGATCCCGAAATAATTTTTTTTAAAAAAAGATAGAGATCAAGTTCAATAAATTACGGATCTAAATTCTTAATAAAAATGTAGACTCGACAACAAAAAAGGCTATACATTAGAGATGGTGATTTTAACCAGCTATTTTCCTTTCAACCTTCATATATTTAAATGAATTAAACCACAACAATAGAGCAAAAATCATGTGAGAAGTAATTGACGCACTTTACAAGCACGGGACAAAATTGAAACCATCATGCAACTAGAGCTTATCGGGTAAGGATAAAGAGGATGATGATAAAAGGTCCCTTGTCCAACACCATGCTGAGTTTCGTGATTTAAAAAACCTCAAATTACAAAACTATGAAATAAGATTTAGAAAATAACTCGTACTAAATTAATTTATGAGCCAAAAACATTATTGATATGATATGCACCAAAAGTTGCCTCTAAATTCAAAGCACTTGTATAGCTGTCGACACTCTTCATTGTTCCCGACACCAAAGTTTTTCATATTCATCAAAGTAATTTTTACTCACCAAGACCGATTGATGATGCAACACCGAGGGCAATCCACCACAATCCAAATCGCAAACAATGAGAAAGTTCCTCAACATGTTGCGAAACATGCCATAACAAGTAATCAATATCCCACGCTGTGAATTTGTAAATAGAGTGTTGAATGATGGAACAAAATGAATACTCAAACTAAAAGGAACAAGTAGCACATCTAGATCCTAATATATTCACATCATGAGAAAAGGTTTAACCATAGGGGATGCAATAGTACCATGATAGTAGCAATCCAAAAACAAACATAACATAACCTTTTACTCATGGTGATAGAAATACGTATCATTTCATCCATAAGAACGGATATGTAAGTGAACTAAAAGTACCTACAATGTTCTACATGCTGTAATACCTTTTCATGAGGGCCATCGATGGTCATAAGCACAATTCCAACAACCGCCACCACTCGCGCTTAATAGAATATTGATGTCTTGCAATATTGAACCATAGTTAAAACAAAAAACTTCAATGTTTTGAAGGGTTGTGCAATCGAGTGTCAGATTATCTAGTTCTTGCCGATGCCTTTTGTGAAGACTTGAAAATACAAGCAATTCTCTCGAGCCATAAAATTTGGTAGGTACAAGAATCCATTTCCTTCAAAACTTAATATTTTATGGTGTTCCCGTTTTTCATCTTTTTTTCCAACCGAAGTAAACCAATAAATTAGCAATTCAAGCTCCCTATAATATAAGTTTTCTACTATAAATAAATTAACTACGAGATTGAACGCGAAAGCATTGACTCGAACTAAGTATAATAATAATTTTCATCATATTCGACCAACAAAAAGGAAACTTTACCACATGGAAATCTCAAAAAATTAAGTTACAAAGTATTCAAAAGCTGAATTTTTTCTTTTACGGTTAGATTACGGATCCGTTTACATAGAAATTCCAAAAGGAACAAATCGACCTAAAACTCATAGGAGTCTAATTCGTAATTGATTTTTTTTTAAGAGAAAGACGAAATTGAAATCGAAATAATGAAACTAAGAGCGGAAAGAGCGTAAAGAAGACGCTTGCCTACTACAAACATGTCCACGGTTTACGAAGAAGAAGCCGTTGCTTCGTTGCCAAACCCCATTATCATCAAAGCTTTGGAGGAGCTGCGAATGGGTGTAAGCTTCGTTGCTCGAAAACACCCGGGGAGATGCTTTTTGTCGGATGAACTAGGGAGGAAAGAAAATGTGTTATGCGAATGGATCAACTAATGCAAGGTTCAATAACTTGATTTTTACGGATCCGTTATTAATGAGAAAGGATGCACGAGGAAGTGATGATGGCGAGAGAAAGAACTATAGAGAGAGAGAGAGAGATATTGTGTTTGCAGAGAAGGGAACGGCTAAAAGCAAGGGTAAAACCGTGAAAAGCAAAAACAAAAATACATTTCTCACGTTTTTCTCCCCATTTCCTCCTAATTTTAGGAGGAAAATGGGTCCCACCATTTTTACATTGTTTTTTTTTCTTTCCACTCGCTTTCCTCCCTCTTCCCAAACGATGTAAACTTTTCCTTTCACCCCTATTTTCTTTCCTCTCCCCCACTTTCCTCCCTATCCAAACAAGGGGTTAAGCTATGAGATAGGGTGACACTAAATCAAAAATAGAAGTCCTTTAAATATTAAATGTATTCTTTCAAGGTGTTTAATGTCACCGAGGACCTATTGGATGCTTGTTTGTATGCTCTCTTCTTTCACTTGGACGTTCATCAAATTCCACGTAAGTCGTTTCACTTCATTTGTCACCCTTAAAGCATCTATGGGGACCTATTGATATAATTAGTTAAAAAATATTTTTCTCAAGGATATTTAAGAGAACTATTGAGGATATCATTTTTTAATGAATTTTGAGTTATAACTCAAAGAGATATGGGCACTAACGATAATAATTGAGCAACATGCAGTAATATTGTATTAGCAAGAATTGACAAACATGTAAAGGAAGTACTCGTCATATTCCCGACAAAGATAGACAGCTAATGTAGGGTTTGTGATTCCTACATTAATATGTTTATGAGATGGTTTTGTTATTCCGTGTTTGAGTATTTATAGAAACTAAATACTCTTAGCATCGAATCCTACATTATTTTCACGAGTTACTGCTTTGGGTTTGCTAGCAATTTGTAGCTAGGAAGGAACATTATCGCAATGTAGTCAAGCATGGATTCAAATCTCAATAAAAAGCACATGGTTGTCTTCGTGCGAGTAAATCTTGTGAGATTTCGATCAAAACTTCATTCCGCTTTGCCATCTACCCTACATTGTTGTCCCGAATTGCTAGGTTACCTTGATTAGTTCTAATTGATAGCATCTCTTTCAAGAGAGACTTGACAATTTTGATCAATGTTTCATCCATATTACATCTTATGATTCAAATTTTGACTACTCGTCGCTTGCTCATTTTTGCATCATAATCTTTTTCGTTTGACATTGGTTTTCACTACGTGATTGTGAAATCACTAATTCCATAAGCGTCATCTTTCTTTGTCAAATGTGACAGGAGACATGCATCCGGTAAACATTTGAGAATTGAAGACTCTAAAGCAATGAAATGTGAAAGCTACAAAGCTATTAGATAGCATGGTTAGGTAGGAGTATCCAGTTTGTATTCCCGCTCTTTCTAGTCTTGGTTGGCTACTTTCTTTTAACGGAATATTTAACCGCATTAATACTAGCCATATACATGTGCATTTTGATCTATCACGTTTCGATTACTACACTTTGCTCTAACTCTTTGTCTATCACGTTTGACAAATTCAATCTCCTTTCTTTTAACCACACAATGATCTTCTAAAGTTTGAAAGATTTTTTTCTTGTTTGTAAAAGCAATGCTAAGTGAAAATTGACGATCTTTGGTAGTGTCATCAAAATGCATAGTTTTGGGGTTTTTTCTCCTTCCATGATTTGTTTCGCCATCATCATCATTGTTGGATTCAAGACTTCCATCTTCATTCAAAATCAAACTTATAGAAACATACTCCAATTACCTCTTCTTCGGTATCATTACCACTAGGTTTTTGGCTATTAGATTGTGGAGCATCAATCGTGATGCTTTACATATAGAAGCAATATGTTTTTTACTCGTGGATTTTTTCAACTCGCAAAGTTATTCCTACCAGCCACTAGCTCTTCATCATCATTGTCAATAATCCAGGTCATATCAATTAATTTTATCTCATCATCCAGACTTTAATATACTATCATAACCATCCTCATCATCCTTATTGTCTTCCGAACTAGACTCACTATTTTCACCCTCTTCATTGCCCACACCTTATTATTACCCTTAACATTATCACCATCTTCCCTCCTCGTGTCATCCGACACAAGCCTTACCTCAATGCTTCCAAAAGCATATCCGAGACTACATAGGGTCTCATGCTACTCATGTTTCCAACAATAACCATCCATATTGTTAAATTTTCCTTCTCTATTAGTTGCATCAATACCCTCATTTACACAAGAAATTACAACATCAATAAGTTTAATGCCACTACTACCCTCACAATTCCTACCATCAACATCCATATTTGTTTGCACAATCTGTTCCTGGACCACATTGTCACTACCATTCTCGAGATCAATCAATTCATTCCCATGTTTCACTAGCCTATTCGCATCCTTCATAAAAAAAAAACTTCATATTTTCTTACTTGAGAAAATCATCCAAATATGAAAACAAAGATCTTTCATTATACACATATATCAACTAAGTTTCTAATGTATCACCATTCCATAATAGCATACAATGTATTTTTTAAGGATCAATCCACTTATAACTTCTAATAAGTTGTTTCAAGGACGAAAAAGAAAAAAAATCAGTTTCAACCAATTTAATCTCACACACACCACCAATGTACTTTAAGTCAAGATTTCAAACAAGCTTTCCTCCAATATGCAATAACAAAGCTAAATTTAGCATTTCACCTTAGATTTTGACAAAACAATGACAAAAAGCAAAAGATGACAAAAAAAAAAAAAAAGAAAGACAAGGACTTGTAGTAGATCTAACTCCCAATTCACTCCAAATGGCCAAAAACCTAACTAAAATCTAACCCTTAAGAGACTATCTCATGAACTCTAAAAGCTCTCTCGAAATCTCACAATTTCTCCCCTTCTCTCTATGTCTCTATCTCTCATGTTTTCAATTAAGTTTTTATGAAAGGAATTGAAAGGGGTGAGGCAAACGATATGTCGTATGCCTTACCTCTTTTAATTCCTCTCGACTTCCATTAAAAAAAAAACTAAGTAATGATCAACTAATAGTTGATCATTAGAAATAACAAGATTGAGTAATTTAGATCATATTACCTAATCCCTAATACTTTGGGATTCAAATCATGCAACTTTAATATTTTAGGTCTGAAATTGCCAAATTGCAATATTTTGGAGGTAAAATATACCATAAAACCCCTTTCTATTATTGTTTTCAAATTATTTGTATTAAGATTTCTCAACAACATACAAAAAGAAGAAGGAGCTGGAAATTTCTTAAACAAAATATGATTTGCATTTTTATTATTTAATGTTCTTTTTCTTTATTATTTTTTTAATGAATAGTTAGGTCCAACAATAAGGATGGCATGTGTTCATTTATTGGGTATGTCCTCAATAATTTAATAATAAAAACTCTTAATTGAAAACATACGGATAGGCGTTGCATTCAAAAGAAGTTAATGAAAATTTAGTGCCTTTACTCATTTAAATTTTCTAATAAGTATCTTTATTTTTATTTTTAGTTTATTAAAAAAAATCTATAATTTTTTGTTTTTCATGTCCTTATTGCTAATTTATATTCACTTCAGATATAATTAAATAGAATTATTTAAAATAAAAAAGTTCCACAATAATGTTATGATAGGTGAAATATTTTATCGGTGATTATTGTTTTTAAGAGTTAAATGCATTTACCTTAACTATTAATTATCAAATTTTAATAAACCTTTTCGGGATGCTATTGCAGGTATAACTAGATCTAGAGAGTAAAAAAGACCAACCCGACCAACCACAACAATTATCACATAACTTCTCCATGCATACGATACACAACTATCATACATATATTTCAATCATTCCTTATTCAAATCGGCTAACTAGCATTTTAAAACGAGAAAAAGACATTGGCAATGCTATAATTCGCCGACACACTCTTTCCCCTTTTTATACTCTTTTATTTTCTACAAACCTAGGAAATATTTCAGTCATTCCTTATTCAAACCCTTACAGCTTCCCGCATCTACATAATGCGATCCTCAAATTTACTCGGGCTTTCGCATGTAATGATGGTATACTTATATAGACCACTTCTTGAAGGCGTCATAGTCCAATGGCAACACCAATGCTTGCTACGAGGGTTTTCATACCTAATCAATTCATTGTAAGATAGACATATAACGAAAACCACTAATGATATGAAATTAATAGCAAAAACCATGCCGAGGTCCCTTCCTCATAGGGTTACAAGGGATGTACTCAAGTCTCAAGCTCAAATACATAAGAAGGAAGATTGTTTACCATCAAACAAATCCATAATTATTTATAAAAATATGAATTCTTTAAACTTTTGATTGACTATTATCCCTTAATACAATGTTAATATTATAGTATACTAAATACTACTAAGTAAATCCAACCTCATTTCTAATTAAGAAAAAGACCAATATTGATAAAATTCTTAAAAAAGAATTATTAATTCATAAAAATAGACTATTTTTCAATGAATCTAAAAATATAGATTAATTTCGTTTTCATATTTTTTATTATCTATATACTGCATTAAAAAACCCCAAATGATAATTACTTAAATCGCACTTAAATAATATAATTAATAATATATTAATACTTTATTTTCACAATCAAAACTCTAAAAAGACTTTAAAACGAGCCAATAAAAACATAAAAGTATTAAAATTAAAAAATAATTAAATAACATCAAACTTCATTAAATTATTAAATTGAATCCTTACTTAAGTTTTTATAGGTTATTATTATTATTTTTTTGTTATTGTCTTACATTTTATTTTACTCCTCTAAAAAAACATTGATAATATTAACAAAAAAGCAATGTTTATTAAAAAAAAAAACCTATAATTTTTGTATCGTGTCCGTATTGTTAATTTATATTCACCTCATATATAATGATTAGAAATATTTAAAATTAAAAAGTTTCATAATATAATGATAGATGAATATATTTTTGTGATTTTATTTTTAAGAGTTATATGTATTTATCTTAACAATTAATTATTACATTTCAAAACATAATTAAATTTAAGTCCCTATTTTTATTTTTATTCCAGTTAAAATTATATTATATGGTAAGAAATTAAAAGAATTAATTTAATTATAATTATATAAAAAAAAATTAGTTTTCCACTTTGTTCTCAACTATTCCCACCTTTTGGGCGAGACAACCTACCTTTAGCTAGGAGCCCTTTTTTCTTTTTTTAGAATTTTAAAAAACTATATCTAATAAATTAATTAAATAATGCAAGTGTCAAAAAACTAATCATACAAATAACCCATCCTCCAATTCTTTGTAATTTATTTCAAAAAATAACAATACAAAAATATTTTCATAATAGAAATCATTCAATGAGATTTATATTGGATTCCTTAAAAAATTTAAGATTATTTCAAAGTTATTTTTTATTTTTTTGATTTTTTTAATACTTTTAATGTTAAAAAAATAAACAAATATTGGCATTAGAAATAACAAGATTGAGTAATTTAGATCATATTACCTAATCCCTAATACTTTGGGATTCAAATCATGCAACTTTAATATTTTAGGTCCGAAATTGCCAAATTGCAATATTTTGGAGGTAAAATATACCATAAAACCCCTTTCTATTATTGTTTTCGAATTATTTGTATTAAGATTTCCCAACAACATACAAAAAGAAGAAGGGGCTGGAAATTTCTTAAACAAAATACGATTTGCATCTTTATTATTTAATGTTCTTTTTCTTTTTTATTAAATAATTTTTCTTTATTATTTTTTTAATGAATAGTTGGGTCCAACAATAAGGATGGCATGTGTTCATTTATTGGGTATGTCCTCAATAATTTAATAATAAAAACTCTTAATTGAAAACATACGGATAGGCGTTGCATTCAAAAGAAGTTAATGAAAATTTAGTGCTCGTACTCATTTAAATTTTTTAATAAGTATCTTTATTTTTATTTTTTTTAAAAAAATCTATAATTTTTTGTTTTTCATGTCCGTATTGCTAATTTATATTCACTTCAGATATAATTAAATAAAATTATTTAAAATAAAAAAGTTCCACAATAATATTATGATAGGTGAAATATTTTTTCGGTGATTATTGTTTTTAAGAGTTAAATGCATTTACCTTAACTATTAATTATCAAATTTTAATAAACCTTTTCGGGATGCTACCGTAGGTATAATAGATCTAGAGTGTAAAAAACACCAGCCTCTATCAACCATAACAATTATCACATAACTTCTCCATGCATACGATACACAACCATCATACATATATAAGGGCTACAAAGCGGCTAACAAGCATTTTAAAACAGAAACGAGACATTGGCAATGCTATAATTCGCCGACACACTCTTTCCCCTTTTTATACTTTTTTATTTTCTACAAACCTTGGAAATATTTCAGTCATTCCTTATTCAAACCCTTACGACTTCCTCGCATCTACATAATGCGGTCCTCAAATTTACTCGGGCTTTTCGCATGTAATGATGGTATACTTATATAGACCCTTCTTGAAGGCGTCATAGTCCAATGGCGCCACCAATGTCTGCGTTGAGGGTTTTCATTGTAAGATAGACATATAACGAAAAGCACTAATGGTATGAAATTAATAGGAAACACTATGCTGAGGTCCCTTCCTCATAGGGTTACAAGGGATGTACTCAAGTCTCAAGCTCAAATACATAAGAAGGAAGATTGTTTACTCGTCAAACAAATCCATAATTATGTATAAAAATACGAATTCTTTAAACTTTTGATTGACTATTATCCCTTAATACAATGTTAATATTATAGTATACTAAATACTACTAAGTAAATCCAACCTCATTTCTAATTAAGAAAAAGACCAATATTGATAAAATTCTTAAAAAAAGAATTATTAATTCATAAAAATAGACTATTTTCAATGAATCTCAAAATATAGATTAATTTCGTTTTCATATTTTTTATTATCTATATACTACATTAAAAAACCCCAAATGATAATTACTTAAATCACACTTAAAAATATAATTAATAATATATTAATACTTTATTTTCAATATCAAAACTCTAAAAAAGACTTTAAAACGAGCCAATAAAAACATAAAAGTATTAAAATTAAAAAATAATTAAATAACGTCAAAATTCATTAAATTATTAAATTGAATCCTTACTTAAGTTTTTATAGGTTATTTTTTTGTTATTGTCTTACATTTTATTTTACTCCTCTAAACAAACATTGATAATATTAACAAAAAAAACAATGTTTATTAAAAAAAAAAAGACCTATAATTTTTGTGTCATGTCTATATTGTTAATTTATATTCACCTCACATATAATGATTAGAACTATTTAAAATAAAAAATTTTCATAATATAATGATAGTTGAATATTTTTTTGTGATTTTATTTCTAAGAGTTATATGTATTTATCTTAACAATTAATTATTACATTTCAAAACATAATTAAATTTAAGTCCCTATTTTTATTTTTATTCCAGTTAAAATTATATTATATGGTAAGAAATTAAAAGAATTAATTTAATTATAATTATAAAAAAAAATTGTATATTGCCACTTTGTTCTCAACTATTCCTACCTCTTGGGCGAGACAACCTACCTTTAGCTAGGAGCCCTTTTTTCTTTTTTTAGAATTTTAAAAAACTATATATAATAAATTAGTTAAATAATGCAAGTGTCGGAAAACTAATCATACAAATAACCCATCCTCCAATTCTTTGTCATTTATTTCAAAAAATAACAATACAAAAATATTTTCACAATAGAAATCATTCAATGAGATTTATATTGGATTCCTAAAAAATTTAAGATTATTTCAAAGTTATTTTTTATTTTTCAATTTTTTAATACTTTTAATGTTAAAAAAATAAACAAATATGGTTTTTTATTTTGAAAAGTTCTGAAATTTTTTTACAAAATAAATTGAATTTGTCTCAGCATGTATGCAAAAATTTAACTCAAAATACCAAAAATTATAATTTTTTTTAAAAGAAAAATTATAGCTAAAAATTATGGAATGGATTAAATCTGAAAAAAAAATTAAAAGTTTAGAAATTTTCAATACTAATAAAAAATTTTAAGTACTCTGCTTCAAATAATTTAAAGTTCATGAGTGGTTAGACTTTTTAAAACTTACTGAAATAAAAAATCTTCTCACACATCCTTGCATGATGACATATAATGTATATTCTTGCACATAAAGATTCATAACCAAGGGTGCATCCTTTTTCTTTTTGTTTTTCAGAAAAACAGCAAACTATGAAAGCTTGTCAAGACACATTTTAATGTAAACAAATGAAAGAAAAATAGGGAGAAAAAAAAAACAATGAACAGTAATCACTAGCAATGAAGGCTAAGCTTACCACCGCGCAGCAGAGATGGCAGCAGAGATGACAGGCCCTTCCATGTCAATGCCGAGCGAAATAATAAAGGAAGAAATGGGGCAATATATTGAGTCCAATCTGCTGCCTTAATATCCTGCAATGCAATGAAAACATTAATTCCATGTTGTGAGTAAGAAGATTTGGAGGTAACATAGGTTATGATAACAATCACAAAAAAAAAAAAAAAAAAAGGAATGGTAAATATGTACTCACAAGCGAAAATGACAAATTCTCTACACTTCCACTCAGCATGTTGGTTAATGGGTCTAGCTCATTCAGAGTAGCCAACTCAGCAGCAAACTGCCAGTTTGAACAAACAGGGAGACCAACTTCACATATATAACCAAGCATAACAAGAAATAGGAAAAAACAAGAAATGGGCAATTTAAGTGTAGAAATGAACAATAAGTGATCCTAGTAGGTGCAAGGAAGCAGCTAAACCTTTCTTTTGTCAGGAATATACTCTCCACACTCCACTGACAAAACCAGATCAAACTGCCCATCTGAAAATGGCTGCTCTAATGCATCTGAAATTGGAGCTCAAATTAATGTAAAATATTTCGAAAGTTGGAACACATACCTTGTCAGCTAATCCTTCAGCTGCAGCAAGAGCATTGGCCCTCTGGATTTGGATGGGACTAAGGTTGATGCCTATGCATTTGGCTCCATATTTCCTTGCTATGTACTTGGTGGTGCCTCCTATCCCACACCCAACATCAAGCGCATTCTTTGGCCTTTTTCCTGGGTCCTCTAGTTACCAATTCAGATATAAAATTAATGGACCAAGACTTTATTTTCAAGCTTCTTCTCATTCACATACTAACACACATTTCATGCTTTGGTTTTGCTTTTCTTTGGATGTAGTTTTGTTCCATAATATACACTAAAGCATGAAATACATAATAATTTCTCCTTTAGTTGAAAAATTTACAAATAAAACGTTGGAGGTGTCAGCCTGTCAACTGTGGGCAACTAGGTTAGCAACAAAAGCATCATGACAAAGATTGATTATTCAGTAGGCAATTAAAATTACAAATTCACAAAATCACTCATCAAAACACAGTATTTATTAGCATAATAATAATACTAATAATAAGGCTAATTAGTTACATAATATCTTGAATTATTTGTCAAAAGAAAAAAAGTCTCTAACCAAATTTCTTTTGTATAGTTTTTTTATTATTATTTTACTAACCAATCTCAGACTAAAAACCCTAAAAAATAATTTAATTGCAGAACAACTAAAAAGTTGAGAATCCAAATGAAAAAAAAATTAAAAACTTTTCTCCCTATGAATATTGATTCAAAACACTTGATAAATAATTACCATAACGATGATGATGATAACCATAGGAGGTAACAGTTATAGTAAGTTTGTGTTTATAGTAAGGTCATTTTTGGGAATTGAGATATGATAAATGGAAAGAGAGCCAGCAAGAAATAACTAACAAACCCGAAACGCCAACAAAACTGAGGGCCTCTTGTATCATTCGTATCTGGCAGCCCGGTGATCCGAATCAGTCTCGGAAACCGGGTCGCAAAACACGTGATGCATGTGGTCTCCCCATATGTCCTCCCAGACACCAAACGACTTGTCGTAGAGTTGTGCTATGCCTTGATTAACCTCTCGAGTATCGGTACTGTCCGTGGTTGCGCTGCACAACGTGCCATCCGGGGGTCGCTTGCTTTTTCCAAAGGTAACTTTTTGGTCTCCTAATCCTCCATCTTCTACTTCTACAGTCGTTGGGTTTTGTGATTTTATATCCTCTGTTTTGAGCAATCAATAAATAGATTATTGCTACATCATCATATCTTATCTCCAACAATCTTCAATTCATTCATCAAAAACTAAAATATATGTTCATTGTACGAATACTATTTATTTAGACCTAAATAATAGAGAAATTTTATAATACAGCGAGGAACTGTAGTGGCGTATGCATTAGTTACTTCGTTAGCTTGCTTTGAGGAGGGAGATAGATACAAAAAAAATAAAATTACATCCATACTCAGTAAAAGTGATAAGAAGATTTTCACATCTACTCAAATTTTTTTATTTTCTCTCTCTTTTTTTATGTTTATCTTTCTCTTGAAAGTGGGCTACGTAAGTAAGCTACTATACATGTCATTAGTTATTCCCGATATATTATAAAATTACTCTAAAGAATAAGACCCATTGCAGTGGTTTGTCTTTTATCTCCCAACCGTTGGTCGAACATTTTCTCTGCAGCAGTTTGTCTTCATCTCCCAACCGTTGGTGCTCCATCTTCTCTGCAGTAGTTTGTTTTTATCTCCCAACCGTTGGTCCACCATCTTCTCTGCAGCAATTAGATTTTGTGATTTTATCTACTTTCTCTTTTTTACTCTTTTGTTTTGCAAATCTGATCGCTTAAAGTCAGATAATATAATCCCAACCGTTGGTATTGAGTAGTGTAGCGGGGCTGTTGACGGTGGGTTTTTATGGCTATGAGGCAGGATACTCTTAAGCTATGAGGACCGGATTGGAATTTTATCAGCATACTCTTAAGCTATCAGACAGGGTGACACTGAATCAAAAATAGAAGTCCTTTAAATATTAAATGTATGCCTTCAAGGTGTTCAATGTCATCGACGACCTATTGGATGCTTGTTTGTATGCTCTCTTCTTTCACTCGGACGTTCATCAAATTCCCTGTAAGCTGTTTCACTTCATTTGTCACCCTTAAAGCATCTATGATGGAGTGATATAATTAGTTAAAAAGTATTTTTCGCAGGGATATTTAAGAGAACTATTGAGGATCTCATTTTTTAATGAATTTTGAGTTATAACTCAAACAGATATGGACACTAACGATAATAACTGAGCAACATGCAGTAATATTGTATTAGTGAGAACTGACGGACAGGTAACAGGTCAAGCATAGATTCAAATTTCAACAGAATCCCTACATTATTTTCATGAGTTCTGCTATGGGTTTGCTAGCAATTTGTAGCTAGGAAGGAACATTATCAGTAACAGGTCAAGCATGGATTCAAATTTCAACAAAAAACACATGGTTGTCTTGTGCGGGTAAATTTTATGAGATTTCGATCCAAACTTCATTCTGCTTTGCTATCTACCCTACTTTGTTGTCCTGAATTGCTGGGTTACCTTGATTTGCTCTAATTGATAGCATCTCTTTCAAGAGAGACTTGGCAGTTTTGACCAATGTTTCATCCATATTACATCTTATGATTCAAATTTTGACAACCTGCTGCTGCTCGTTTTTGCATCATAATCTTTGTCTTTTGACATTGTTTTTCACCGCGTGATTGTGAAATCACTAATTCCATAAGCATCATCTTTGCTGTCAAATATGACAGGAGACATGCATCTCGTAAACATTTGAGAATCGAAGACTCCAAAGCAGTAAATGAGAGAGCTGCAAAGCTATTAGAGAGCATGGTTAGGGAGGAGTATCCAGTCTGTATTCCTGCTCTTTCTTGTCTTGGTTGGCTACTTTCTTTTAACTGAATATTCAACTGCATTAATACCAGCCACATGCATGTGCATTTTGATCTATGAACTAATTATACTTCTGTTATGATTTTTGAGCATTCTGCTATAACGTGTTAAGTATTTGTCGTAAATAATAAGATTTAACTTCAAACATGTGTGCCTTATTTCACTCTGGCATGATCATATGCTTTGCGCCTAAACTCCAAGAATCCTTTTCACTTAACCGTACCTCATGCATAACTTGCACACTTGCTCACCTACTGTTGATCAAATTTTCTGCTTTTTAACTTCTATCAACATTTCAATTTTTTGAGGAATGATTCCAAACTTCTGTGTATATATAAAACATGTTGAAAGTTTCACACTGGTTTCTTACATGGTCAATCGCTCTTACAACGTGTTTCGAATTCCATGGCTTTAGAATTTCGTCATATATCAGAAACCTTTTTTTCTTTTTTCTTTTTTAAGTTGACCTTCACAGAAATTAAATTGCTTCCGCCATTGCCAGCAGATGCGGCTTGTCAGCCAAGAGTAGTGAGGAAGCCATGCCTGCCCCCCCAAAAAAATAAAAAGCAAAAACAAAAACAAAATTTCAAAAATTCACGTCAGTCCCTAACTTTTAGACATGTTTTCATGTAAACCCTTAAAAATAATTACTAAGCAATCCCAAAATTTCAACATATGCCATGATATTCTTAAAGCCTCCAGACGTTTCTAACTTTGCCCCTCCAATAGTTAGTTTAGCCTCTCCCTCTAATTGATAGGACCAAGAGAAAAAACCATCCACTCATTCCGGAAAGAACTGATCAGACAAAAAACATAAAATAATCATGAAGCTAAATTACTCATTTCTAGATTTAGCCGGTGAACTAAACTGATATTCAATACGATAAGACTCACAAAATATTCAATTGTAGCATGCTTCATAAATTGTCTAATGTCAAATCAAATTTCATAAAAAATAACAAAGATGAAAATGCATCACTTAAATGCTAGATAGAGAAGAATACAAAAGCATTACTTGGATATGCTGCTTAAATCTTGCCCCAAACTTTTGCAATCCTCGTATTTACATTCAAATAACAACTTCTTCACTTTGTCATGAATCTATAAGAGTAAAATTCAATAAAGATAAGTTGATACATGATCAAATTCCAGATCATTCAAAATAGGTAGGTTGTCTTTTATCTCAAGTCCCAAATCAATATAGGTCTACCAAATAACAAACAAATAATGATGAAAAGATTGTCATCAAACCATGTCGAAAACAATACGAGATTGTAAGGGAGAAAACATAAGAGTGTCAAATGACAAGAAAACCAACAAAGCTAGTATCTATACTTACATGAGTGCATAAAAAACATTAAAAAGAATAAAAGTTATGGATAGCATGAGTGGAATCATCACAACACACACTTGAAGCGACAATATCATTCAAACAATGGACGGAATTAAAAGTAATTTAATGCAAGAAACAAGGGTAGTTTAGTTTTACTAGAACGATCCTTGGATATCTCACATAAATCATTAAAACTAGGAACAAGTAACCATGTAGGCTAGTTTATCGGAATTTGCCGAAGTATCAACGTGCGCACCCCTATGTCACAAAACAAACCATGTATTCACAAGCATCAAACACTTCGAAAGCATAACTTGTTTTTGAGAAGCTTGAGAGGGTGACTCTTCAAAGCAAAATCTCATGTTTCTACCGGATGCCAAAAGCTTTATAGTAAAACAAATGGAAACCGATTTGTTTCACATAACTCTAAGACAATCAAGATAGTCATTATATATGAGATGAATGCTTTAAAATATACTCGTAGCTAATGATGTATTTCTTAAAATTATAATGATACCGGAGGGACATTCACTGTATATTTTTCTTAATTCTTCGAGCAGCTTATGTAACTGGAAGATCCTCGAATGAATTCAAATTTCAATATTCTACTACACATGTAACAAGAATTGAATTTAATCAATTCACAAGAAAAGTAGTTTAACTTTCGATTGAGGTTGCAAGGGATCATCAAATTATTCTTAAATGTCCAATGCCCTAAACAAAAAGGATATTATGACTTTTGATGATTATGAAAATAAATCTTCAAAATTAAGTTTTTTTCTTTGAAGTTTTGAATCCTTTGTTGCGAGTAGAAATTGTAAAGGCACCTAAACACTTAAGTGAACATACTACGATATCATTGAACTTAGGATTCAACAAGTAGGGATATTTGTACAACATAATCCTCTGTTGTACTACAACATTTCAACAATCCATATCTAAATCTATTGCTAATATCCTACTTAACATTCTCTAGCTTTGAATGATGGAATCTACACATTGAAAATTATTACATTTTAGCTCTTTTACTTTAACTAAGCGAGACAACCCTTAGCTTTCCCAAACTTGAAAACTTTGGACTAAAGGGCACTCTTCCATAACTCAACTTGTAGTTTATCCCAATGTTGGTTTCACCTTCAACAAATTTATCATTAGCAAATACGGTGCTCTGTGAGATATCATCTTAGATATGGGTAATCGGTTCAACGAATAGTCGAGGGGAAAATAATAGGATTCTAGGCAAATCCTAGGTAAGCCTACTTTAATAGGCAATCAAAACAATGTGGATATGGATATTCATCATATCCAAGATAAAAAGATTATGTATTTTCTATATTTGTTTGTTTGAGGGCTTTCCTATTTCTACATTTAGTTGTTTGATATCTAATAAGTAGCAAGTACCATGCTTAAAGTTGCTTATACAAGCCCCGTAAAGCTCACATACCAAGTTTCTCTCTGTTCTTCCCACTTTTATGTTATGATGTGTTCTTAATGGCTCTCGGACTTTATTCTAGGAGGATGTTATTGTGGGAGCAACCTTTGTCAATTGCATTTCCCGGATATTATTGCCCATCCACTTTAAACAATGTTCACATCTATATTTTTGCATGATAGATAAGAAGATTTATTACCTTGCAATATTAACCGAGAGAAACATATGACTTCCCTTTGCTACTTCCTATTCTAAAATCTTTTTGGTTGCATCAAGGTCCGATATAACCGTGTGAATTAATGGTTGACGATTAGAAATAACTAGATTAGATAATTTAGATCACATTTACCTAATTTCTAATACTTTGTAATTCAAATTACGTAAACATATGACTACGAGCCTTCGAAATTCAATTTCTTTGACGAATCAATTGTGATAGTCGAAAAAAAAAACTTGAACAAAATGATGACACATGGATTTTATACTTTGATGAAGTCATCAATGTGTTAGGAAACGAGTATTGAGTCGGTTTTGATTTCACCAAAAGCAAAATAGTTTTTTATGGCAATGAAGTTACAATTCCGTAGAATTGTTTATCAATTTCGCATAAATCATCAATTCTATAGAAATCATCAATTCTCTTAGAAATCATCCAAAATTCCCAAAAAAGCATCCAAACTCCCAAAAATCATCCAAACTTCTAAAATCAAACAACATTCCCATAAAGCATCCACAATTCCCAAAATCATCTAACAAGTAATTTATTGACAAAATAAGAATGCTTCAAATCCATTAACAACACAAATAAGAAGAAGCAACAACTTCATGCATTACACATAATTAACATTCTAAAATTCAAATTAATGGATCAATTACTTATAATTAATTGTTCAAAATACAAAAATGATCCATTAATAGTAAAAAATTTACAAAAACATCAATCACTTTTCATAATGTTCTAAACACCAAAAAATTCATCCTTAATTCTTCCTTAGTCTTCCTTTTATTTTGATAGGT